ATATCCGAACACCCCAGTGTTAGATTTGCCAAAACGTAAACACATGGAAGACATACCTCGTAAATAACGAAAAATCCACTGAACTGCTTTCCAGTGTTCTTTCCCCGGGTTCGCCATGTATCTATTAACCATGCTAACAGCATAAGCCAAATCAGGGCGTGTGCAGATCATAGCATACATTAAAGATCCAACAGCACTAGAGTATGGAACACGTGTCATGTAAGCCATATCAGTCTCATTAGTAGGACTCAAAGCGGATGATAGCTTGAAATGAGCTGCAAAAGGTGTGTTGACAGACTTTGCTTCGTGCATATTGAAGCGTCTTAGGACTTTCTCAATATAACTTTTCTGAGAAAGATGCAAGATCCTAGACTTCCTGTCACGAATAATTTCCATACCTAAAATCTTTTTGGCAGCTCCTAAGTCCTTCATTTCAAATTCAGCTTTCAACTGGTCTTTTAACTTCTGAATCTCCTTCATATCTTTTGCTGCAATCAACATGTCATCCACGTACAAGAGTAAGTAGATCTTTGAACCATTGTCACCTTTCTTGAAATAAACGCAGCTATCATAGGTGCACCTGCTGAATTTGTGACTGGTCATGAAAGAATCGAACCTCTTGTACCATTGTCTAGGAGACTGCTTGAGGCCATAAAGAGATTTGTTCAACTTGCATACGTAGTTCTCCTTTCCAGGAACTACAAAACCTTCAGGTTGTTGCATAAAAATCTCTTCCTCAAGCTCACCATTTAGGAAAGCTGTAGTGACATCAAGTTGTTCTAACTCAAAATCGTTAGAAGCAACCAACCACAACAATACACGAATGGAAGTATGTTTGACAACTGGGGAATAAATGTCAGTGTAATCAATACCAGGAATCTGACTGTAGCCTTTAGCTACTAACCGAGCTTTGTATCTTGGTTTATCATTTAGGTTGACAGGTTCCTTGAGCTTATAGACCCACTTGCATTTAACTGGTCTCTTCCTTTTCGGAATAGGAACTAAATTCCAAGTACTGTTTCGCTGCAAGGATTCCATCTCATTTTGCATAGCGAGCATCCAATCATTTGAGTCTTCAGATTTGATAGCCTCGTCATAATTCGCAGGCTCCGTTGCGTACTCAATATTATCAGCAACAATAAAAGCATAGGCAACCAAATCAGATTCAGCATACCTCTTCAGAGGAATAATCTGTCTTCTCGGTCTATCTCTTGCAATGCTTGGAGTAGTAGCTTGTGGTTGTGAAGGTGTTGAATCTTCACCAACAACATGCTCATCCGACGAAGAAGAATCTTGATGCTGACTTGTACTCTGATTAGTGGTAGGTGAAGTAGGAAGCTCCACCTCCATTTGAGCATACTCTTTATTTGCTTCGGATGATACATCTGATGCATCTGTTCTTTTAGAAGAGTCAGCAACTGGTTGAATCATAGCAGACTCATCAAAAGTAACATCTCTTGAGATGATAATTTTCTTCAAATCAAAACTCCATAACTTGTAACCCTTTACACCTTGATTGTACCCAAGAAAAACGCATTTGATTGCTCTTGGTTCTAGCTTCCCATTGTCAACTCGTGCATACGCTGGACATCCGAATGGTTTTAAATCTGAATAATTTGCAGGTTTACCGAACCATAACTCAAACGGAGTTTTCTTCTCGATTGCTCGTGACGGTGATCGGTTGATAACATAGCAAGCAGTCGAAGCAGCCTCCGCCCAAAAAGACTTTGGCAATTTGGAATTAGAAAGCATACACCGGACCTTCTCCATAATTGTGCGATTCATTCTTTCAGCTACACCATTTTGTTGAGGTGAATGGACTACTGTGCGATGTCGAGTAATGCCTTCCTTTTGACAATAGACATTAAACTCTTCTGAGCAAAACTCAAGTCCATTATCCGTACGAAGATACTTTACCACCAGACCTGGTTGCTTTTCAACCTGAACTTTCCAATTTCTGAAGGTATAGAAAACGTCTCCTTTATGTTTTAAGAAGAAAGACCACACCTTCCTGGAGAAATCATCAATAATAGTGAGCATATAAATAGCTCCACCTTTTGAAGCAACTCGAGCCGGTCCCCACAAATCCGAGTGAACATAATCAAGTGGTCCTTTCGTTGTATGGATGTCACTTGCAAACCTCACTCGTTTTGCCTTGCCATATACACAGTCTTCACAGAAATCCAAATCAACAATCTTTTGTTGACCAAGTAAACCTCTTCGACTCAATTCTGACATGACTTGAAAACTCATATGGCCGAGTCGAAGGTGCCAAAGACGGGACTGATCTGGATCAGAAAAAGACTTTGACACAACAGCAGCATCACTCGAAATTGTTTGCCCGTCAAAGATCCGTTCGGCTCAAAGCGTGAATATCTGAGGCTCTGAGGAACCGTCTTTGAATACCCTGAGAACTCCACCTTTACCGGCAAACTCGTATCCCCTTTTGTCAAAAGAACTGAGAGATAACAAGTTTCTTCTGAGGTCAGGAACATATCTAACATCCCCCATGGTTCGAATAACTCCGTCAAACATACGGATCCTGACTGAACCATGTCCAAGAACTGGACATGTAGTATTGTTACCCATCAACACATAGCCCTAGTTAACCTTTTCAAATGTGTAAAACCAACTTTTGTTGTGACACATATGAAAAGTACAACCAGAGTCGAGTATCCAATCACCAGTGGAATCCAGTTTATCTGAATAAACTGTCAAAAGTTCTCCAATACCTTCTACCTCAGCTACATCGGCTTCACCCGAAGTGCTAGCTTGTTTACCATTTGCTGCCGTCTTCTCTTTTTCTTTATTCTTCAACTTGAAGCATTCTTCAAGCACATGTCCCTTCTTGTGACAATAGTTGCAAAACTTTCGTTTGCCTTTTGATTTGGATCTGGTTCTGTTGGAAGATTGAGAAGTTCTACTCCTCTCTGTTGTTCTTCCTCTGGCATTCAAACCTTCGGCTTTAGCATCACTTGAACCACCACCAGTAATATGCTTCATCTTCTCTTTGGAATCCAAAGCTGTATAGACTTCATCTAAAACTAAAGTGTCACGGCTATAGATAATAGTATCACGAAAATGGCTATAGGATTCTGGCAACGACGACAGTAAGAATAAAGCCAAGTCTTCATCTTCATACTGAACATCCATATTCTCTAAGTTATTTACTAACTCTTTAAATGTGGATATATGTTCAGTTAAAGAGCCTCCTTCAATCATCTTGAGATTGAACAACCGTTGCTTCAAATGCAACTTGTTTGGTAAGCTCTTGGTCATCAACAGTTGCTCCAACTTTAGCCATAAAGAAGCCGCTGACGTTTCTTTTAGAACATCTTGCAAAACATCGTTTGACAAGTGCAAACGAATCTGGGATAAAGCCTTCAGATCTTTCATCTCCTTTTCTTCTTCGGTCCATGTATCGGGCATCTTATTGAAACCCAAAAGCGCCTTGTGTAAATCCATCTGAATGAGAATGTCTCTCATCTTTACTTGCCACAACGGAAATCGTGTGTTACGATCCAGTAGTGGAATATCGTATTTTACCGAAGACATGATTAATTACTTGATAAAATGATCCCAATGAGCTAATATTACAACCCGGATGCTCTGATACCAATTGTTGTGAAATACGAAGGATCCGAATAGACTTAAATAATATTAGCTCAATGCGGAATGGGATCAAAAATTATCAAAGCGTAATAATCACTACGAAATACGAATAAAATAAATAGAATAGAGACACAAGAATTTACGTGGAAACCCAAATCGGGAAAAAACCACGGGCGGAGGAAGCCGAGAAACAATTCACTATAATTTGCAGTGTTTACAGGGATTATGAAAGAGATTACAAATAGAGTGAGAGGGCTAAAATATATGGTGGTGTATCAGTATATATATATATATGATATATATAATATATATATATATATTATATATATAGATATATATATATATATATATATATATGTAATGTTTTACTATATATATATATATTTGATTGTTGGATTCCTTCGTAATGAAATGGCTTAGGCTATTTATAGCCAAAGAAAAGAACATATGAAAGGATAAAAATGCCGTCGTCCAAAAAAGTTGCGCCTTCAAATTTGAATACTATTCCACCTACAAACTTTTGAATAACAAATCTCCAAATTCACATGTGCCGTCCAATTCTTCAAACATTTCACATATATATTACTATTCATAGTCAAACTATGAATAGTAAATGATAAGTTACGGAAATAACCCCTAAACTATTTGCCACTTGCTAATTTTGGAGGCAACATTTTCCACAGGATCTAAGAAATTCAGATGGAAGCACACCACTTCATGTTGCTGCTATTATTGGCAACACTGAAGCTGCTGACATCTTGGTGGCAAGAAACCACGAGTCTTTGTTTGCCAAAGACAACAAGGGTCAGACACCACTAGCATTGGCTCTTTCAAATATGCACACAGAAACAGCCCGACATCTGCTGCAACACATCGATACTGTTACTGATGATATACAAAAGGATGCTCTGTTTTCTGGTACAACTGGTGATGACCTTTTAGTTACTGCTATTTCCTCCAAAGATTTCCGTAAGTGTGAACTGGACTCAAATTCTAGTAGTAAGAAACCTGCCCACTTAACTGATTCGGCTGACTTTGGAATATATGTAGTCTTTGCAAGAAAGCTGTTGGAGCATTACAAAACATTGCATAGTGATGCTGTGCTGACGGCTATAGCTCAAAATTTCCCACACGAAGCCTGCTCATTTGGACGATACGCAGGTTTTTTTGTTTTTCTATCTTAATTAATCTGCACGTTCCCTTACATTATAAAATTATTTATAACGCTTCTCTACCAAACTTCCTGCACACCACTTTTTCTATTGAAGAGACTGGTAAATTACTTGAGAGAACAGACAGTTGTCCTCCATGGGTTTTGTCGTCGATAATGAAACCATTCATTCGCGGTAGGTCATGAGTTTTTCTTTTCTTAAACTTTAAAATTGTTGGTTGCGCATTCTATAATTAATTAAACCCATCATTCTAACAAACATTCTATCGTGTAACGCAGTGGCTGACTTCATCCTTATCCTTTTCCTATTAATCGCTGTGCTATTAGGTAAGATGATCAACAAGTACCTAATTGTATTACTAAAACCAAAGAGAATAAAAAAAGGTCTATCTCTTTATTTGAGATGCTCACTTGGGTCTATGTTGTAGTTTCTCCTTTCCGTAAAGAGAGACATGAAATTCATTTACATGCTATGTATATGTTGGGGGAAGTATGTCATTTGATACAGCGAACAAATCACTCCAGCTCTTACCATCACTATTACACAAATCCAATTCTTGAAGCCACTAGACAAAATGCAAACGAGGTTGTAGAAGAAATTGTGAATTGGTTCCCAAATGCAATTTGGAGTGCTAACGAAGATGGGCACAACTTTATACTGTATGCTGCAATAAATCGCTCAGAAAAGGTTTACAACCTACTTTATCATATGAGCGAACATAAGAATATATATCGGACACTTGAAGACTCTTCGGAGAATAACCTGTTGCATCTAGCTGCAAGATTGGCACCATCCAACAAATTAAATCTTATATCGGGGGCAGCTTTACAAATACAACGCGAACTACAATGGTTTAAGGTATGAATCTCTATATATGATTCAAAATCAGCATATACCTGATATTTAAACGTACACCATATGTATTTATCAATCATGTGTAACAATTAACATAATGTAATGTTGTAGGAAGTGGAAAAATTCATTTGTCCTCTAAGCATCATAAAAAAGAACTCTTTAAACGAAACACCACAAACGGTATTTACTAGAGAACACAAGGAGTTAGTGATTGAAGGAGAAAAATGGATGAAGTCCACTGCGGAGTCCTACACGATTACAGCTGCATTAATCATCACCATTGTCTTTGCAGCAGCAATTACAGTGCCAGGAGGAAGCGATCAGAACAAGGGGATACCAATTTTTACCAACAACACCGCCTTCACAGTATTTGCAATATCAGATGCCATATCATTCTTTGCGGCTGTTACTTCATTGTTAATGTTTTTGTCGATTCTCACTGCACGTTTTGCTGAACAAGACTTTCTCTTCAAGTTGCCTACAAAGTTGATAATTGGTTTGTCCACATTGTTCATCTCAACCACAGCTATGATAGCAGCTTTTGCTGCAACGTTATACCTTGTATTTGGCCAAAGCAATTCAAGGATTCTTATTCCAATAGCTGTCTTGACATGCCTACCAATTACTTCCTTTGTGACATTGCAGTTCCCTCTTGTCCTAGACTTGATGAGTGCCACATATGGTCGTAGTATTTTTGGTAGGAACAAAAGTTATTATGGTTTGTTTGGAGGAATATTGATTTGATTAGAAATTGGGAAATTAAAGATCAAAATTATAGAGCAAGTTGTGGAATGCCTTGTAATATTAGGCTTAATTCTTAGAAAATAATCTAGTTATCTCATCACTATATACACCGTTATACACTTATACTAACACCCAATGACCCAAACATATAATTGCATCTTAAGTTTTAATGTTGCTAGTATATGTTATCTATTTTACTCACAACAATATTAATGAAATGATCAATATCCATCAGTTTCTGCTTCTGATCTGATTTTCCCATGTCGTGAGATTGTCCATTCTTACAACCCCTCATAATCGATCCGGCTGTTTTTCTAGTTGTCCGGGCTCCTCTGTTCCAATTGTTAAATGGAAAAATAATAAATTTAGATCAAAAACTGATTTAAAAACTTATAATTGATTTCTAACTTTACATTGATTTACAGCTTACACCTTTGCTATGATGTCGCTTAACCTAAGATATTCTCTTCTCAAAAGTAACAATTTACTTCATAAAATAAATCTCTGTACCCTTTTTAACATGATACTTCACCTTAAAAATGATAGTAATCATCTAATTCTTCACTAAATAACAATTTCCCAAAAAAAAAGGTTTATCAATAAAATAATAATGAAACCACCCTTATCAATCGAACAAATTACGTCATTCTGTCTAAATTAAGTTACAATAAACAACCATATATAGTTGTTTAGATAAAGTTTTTAACCCACTAAACTCATTAAGTAAAAAAGAAACAACCCTATCAATGGAACAAAAAATTGCAATTTCTTCTTTCATCCAAAAAAGTGAAACAACGTGGGGATAAGAATTTACTCTCAATCTTCCATTTGTGCAAAAGACGTAAACGCCCTTCCCATCTTCCAAATAAAAAATAGCCCAAAAAATGTAGTCCTGTCACATTAACTACTAACTAATGCAACAAATAAAATATAGACATAGATACTACTACATTATTTAAACATATGGATCATATTTACAACATAATTATCTATATATAACCCAAAAACAAGCAAAAAATCTATTCTTTTAATCCAAGAACCATGAAGAGATTATCAAAAAGTTATCCATTGGTTATCCAAGAAACTTCCATTCCTTCTCTCCAAATTCCCCATCTCCAATTCACTTTCGGCCACCGAGCTGTACACCTTGAGATAAAGCTTTTCGATACATTAGCAACAACATCATGATGTATAAGCAATGAAACATTTTCCCCACATTGATTAGCAACAACATCATGATGTATAAGCAATGAAACATCAACCAACCCCACACATTGATGAAAAAGTCAACAAAGGGTCAACCAACAACAAATATGCACAAAATGTTTTCAACCCTTTTCTCCCATCCCAAGTCTCCCAACTTTCCACATCATAACACGCCTCTAATTCTGACCACAGACTTGAGTTAATACATAGAGAATTCACATTCAGGAAAACCGTGAACACCTTCTCAAGGGTAAATTTGGAAAACCCAGCTACCCCTCTCTCCCACTTTCGCGAATCAACTGTTAGATTTTCGACTGTTTTTGTAAATGGGAAGTTTAAGAGTAAGGATTCGATGTATAAAGACTCAAGCCAAAGGGTTTTTAAATTTAGGAACTTTTTGACTGTAAATGAGTCAGCATGATCAAGGGCAAGATGGAGGTGAGATAACATGGGCGCTTCGATGTAAAGTGAAGTGGGTTTTATGCATTCGAGTCTTAGTGTTATGAGTGTGGGAGTGATTAGGGTTAAAGATGATGGGGCATTTGATACAGTCCAGTGACAGGTTTTGAGGTTAAGAAGGTTGATTTTGGGGAGTTTGAGACCTCCGACACCTACCAAGTTAAGAACTTGAAGATTTGGGAAGGATTTGTTCAACATGTTTAGGTCTTCATCGTCTAATCTTTTGAATTCAAGTGTTAAATTTGTTAGCATTGGCATTGGGTTCATGTTTTCTACTGATAGCCATGCGTTCTTCACCTCTAATTCAAGAAGATTATGACCTGCATCAATGAAAATTGAGTGCATCGATTAACTAGCAATCATCTATGGTTGAAAAGAAACACCAGGTGAAATTAAGAACATATGAAGGTACATGAGCTTCCTAATGTCAGATCATAGAGAAGGATTTTATCATTTCACATCAGTAGAGAATAAATTTTACAATATACGTCGGCCGAGTCGTCGAGTCGACTCAGTATATAGTATATAGAGGGCTATATCATCGGGAAGTTTGTCCATGGACCTAGTGAGATACACAAGAAAAAAGAAAAAAACGGGTTCAAATACTTATACCTCTTTATTTTACAATAACATCATGGTATATTGGTATATGTGTTATGAAAAGAATAAGTTTAATTATTAAAAAAAACCATAACCATTTTTTATTTTACCTAAAAGTTTTTTTTTTATCAATTAAGACAAAAGAAATTGATCATAGTTTTCTTTTCAAAAATTTTCCAAAAAAAAGTTTCCATAAAATAGTTAAGAAATTGAAAAATGCTAAAAAACATCCCATTATTTTTTGCAAGTAGGTCGCCTGGGAATATGTATATTTTCGAAGTTATATGTGATTTCTTTTTCAAACTTTAAATTTTTATAACTCTTTCATATAAAATATGTGCGAGTTGAATTATTTTTCATTGTTTTCTTTGTAACTTCATAGACATATTACAATTAAAATTTTGATGTCGGAAAGTTACATTTTTTGGCTCCAAAATAAATTAGACGTTGAAAATATGAAGAAAAAAAAAACGCAACTTTATTCGTTCATAAAGTTCGCATATGAACTCCCTTTGACCTAAAAAAAATTCATTATGTTCTTTGCAACAAAAGTTTTCCGTATACATATTATTCTTCCAATTTTGATGTCGAAAATTCATATTTATTTTAGCTCAAAAGTAGATTATCCAGTGAAAAATGATGGAAAACAAAACCTCATAGCTTTTATATACGAACTTCATAACAATCATCATACTATAAGGTGACCTACAAAGATCTCAAAAATAAATAAATAAATAAATAATTGATAAGTTTTTATGGTTTTCTATTTTTTAAAAGGATTATGTAAAAATGATAGTAAAATAGATATTTATATTGTCTTTGTAACACCCATAAAATTCAAGCCAATTTTAAAACTTTTTCAAAACATTTAAGGCAGTAGTTATTACAATTTATTTCCAAAATAGTCTAACATCAGAGTTTTCCCAGAGACATAAATAAAACATGAGGAGTTGTACGATCACGCCTTCGCCTTTCCGCGATCCCCTGATGTACCTGAAACAACAAACTGAAACTGTAAGCCCGAAAGCTTAGTGAGTTCCCCCAAAATACCAACCTCAATTAACCATAATCATATCATATCAACAAATACAGAAAAGCATGCATAACGAGCCTTCATCATGACTTGACCGCCTCGCAGGGCCTACAACCTATCTGGACTGCTTCCGAGCCTTCGACATGACTGGACCGCCTCGCAGGGCCTACAACCTATCTGGACCGCTAGCCGGGTATGTTGGCCTACAGCACAAAGCAGGACCTCCTCAACCCAACCCCCAATCAAACAACATGTGCACATAATTATCATACACTAGCTCATATCATATAACAGTCAAACCGATCTAACAGATCACTAATCATAGCAACATCCCAAATTCGGAATACAGACCTAACCGGTCGCTAACATAGCATCATCCTATAACCAGGACACTAACCTAACCAGGTTACTAAGCATAAGCATATTACCATCCTAACTACTAGGATGTAATCAATAAACATATCATGCCATAATCTGGATACAAATCCATAAAATGGCCGGCCTTGAGGATAACTCACCTCACAACTGTCGACTCGAAATGATAAGCTCAACTCTCGGATCACTGCCACAAACTTCACCACCTATATTCACCATAGAATCATAGTCATAAGTTCCCATATTCCCGAAATGCCCCCAGAAGTCAACTAGTCAGCCCTTGGTCAAGGTCAAGGTCAACGGTCAACAATCCATGTTGACCCGACTCGTCGAGTCCTTCCAGAACTCAAGCAGTCATGAAATTCCCCCACTGGCTCGTGGAGTTCCCTACAACTCGCCGAGTTCATGTGTGTCCAAAGTCAGGGTAAAACCCTAGTTGACTCGCCGAGTCACCCTACTGACTCGCCGAGTCCTAGACAATCTTCATCAGACTCGCCGAGTTGACCATGCAACTCGCCGAGTTCCTTCGGTCCTTCATCTATTCAGCCATACTAAGGTTCCATATTGCAGATCCAATTCCCCAAAGCATGTTTATCACGTAAAGTTGCAAACTTTACGTGCATGCAAGGCTCCAAAGACTCCAAATGACAAATCCAAGCTTGTAATTGTGTTTTACACCAAAGCAGAGTCTCATACTTGCAAGAGCTGGAAGCTTTATGGACTTAGAACCCCAAGAGAGCTCAGATCTGAAGTTGCAGCTTTAGATCTTATCTCATGCACAAGAAAAACTTCCTAATATGCTAGGAAAACCCTAAACTTCACCCAAATGAGATCTAGAAGAAAAAGAGGTTAAGATGACGACTTGATACCTTCAATTGATGCTAAACTGAGGTAGATCTATGATTCCCACACGCTCCTTGCTTCGAGCCACTTGTTCTCCAATCTCTTCTCACCAAGAATCCTCTTCCAAAGCGTAAAACACACAAATGGAGCACACACACACGTATTAGGGTTTGCTGAGCTCTCAAGGGACAGTAAGGAGGCCAAAGGAGGCAGGTGATTCCTTAAATAGGGTGCAAAACCCTCGAAATTAGGGTTTTATCCTCCAGCTCCTACTCGTCGAGTCCTATCTTGGACTCGGCGAGTAGGTCACTTAAACACGTGGACTAATCCGCTGCTACTCGACGAGTCAGGGCACCCTACTCGTCGAGTCCACCTTGAAACCATGAAAATTTATAACCATAAATCAATACCTGAGAATTGGGGCATTACAATTCTCCCCCACTTGAACTAGACTTCGCCCTCAAAGTATGCCGTGGTGAACAAC